TAAAGTTAACGTTAAAGTTTAGTTAGTAGTTGGTAGTACGTAAGGTAATAAACTACTACGTATTATTAATTAATTATTTTCTATACTACACTACACTACTACTAAACTTTTTATTACACCCACATGTAAATAATAATTGTTCTGAATAAGTTTATTTGTTGTCATGTGTATCTGTCACCACACTATGATAGTTACAAGTTTGTTGTTAAGCACAAAGCTTCACAATGAGTTATCTGCCTGCACCCACCATGTTCAGACTTACTACTGGTTCACCATGGGGAAGGTGGCGACTAATGACAAGTAAAATCACTAACCAGTTTGTTTTTTCTTAAGAATTCTATTCATTTTTGATATGAAAGGAAAAACTAATAAGAACAGATGTAGACAAAATAATATAAATAACATACATCTCAGTACTGAATGTCATTTAAAAGCAGAAGATTGTCTCCAAGTTATTTAGATATGGGGCCCAAAATTTCACTCAAAATATCCAAGCATTGTTTAAATAACAGGCTGCATTCAGTGGTAAATATTTGATTATTTCATGCACAGGTAGGTAAATGACCCTTATTTTATTTATAATGCTGTTTGGATTTGCATCTCTCTCTCTCTTTTTTTTCATTTAGTTTTTATTAAAATCTTTTAGTCAATAACTGATGAACGACTTAGGCTAGAAATGCTGTTAACTAGTCTTGAAGTTCAACTTGAAGTTTTTATGATGAAAACTGAATTAAGAAAAGTCTGAAATGTCAGTATTCTTTACCCTGTCAAAATGTTTATATTTCTATAAAAAGGGTCTTGACTCTTGGGCCTGTTTCATGAATATCACTCCAACAATAGTCACTTAATACCTCAGTACCTGTTCACTTGCATTGTTGCAGATGGAGGTATATATTTCACACTTTGAACCCTGTTGCTAAGTCAGCAAGTTTATATTTTAATTTTAAAACCATAATACAAGTCACATTTTCCAAAGACCGTTTTTCACGAAACTGACATAAATACAGTGGTACAGTTTGTAAGTTGTAACTTGTAGTCAGTAAAAAATGGGCGATATGAGATATAGAGAACGATGAGGTTAGACTTCCAATGATTTTTCCAGAACCTCCTAACACAAACCTACACGTTTTCTAGAATTTTCAGTACTTAAAATTGTATTTATAAAATTGCATTACTTTTCTGTTTTCAGGATTTTTATTACCTAATTTTAAAAAAAGATAACGTTTTGAGTCAACATGGGACCTATTGCCCGTACTGGTCCATCTCGGCTGTTCCATCATTCAAACAAAATTAAACTAACTTTTTAAAAATCTTAAAGTTAAAGCCAGGCATTATCATTCAGTAATAATTCACTGCTAGTAATTCTAATAGTAATAGTATTAGTAATACCTGTGTGAACCCTTTCTTAGTTTCTAACTAACTTTTAACTTCTAAGTTTCTTACAAGTTACACATCCGAATTCTATAATTGAGACATTTATGAAGATTTTTTTATGAAACGCTGAAAATACCTGTATTACATATCTTTAATTTATAATAATTAGACTTGTGAAAATTTGTACTACATACCTGTTGTAGTTGAATTTGATAATTTTGTAAATTTCCAGTCAAATCTTCTGACGCCATTTTCCAGACAGGATCACGTCAATCTTACTTTTGCGCCGCCTCGCGGAATTACAGGTTATTATTTGCAATTATCCTTATAGTTTTGTATTTTAGTTTATTATACTGGTTAGCTTCTTGCGCTAATTCCAAGTTTTACGTTGTATTTAATACAGGTTAGAAATTTCAATTAGTGTTCATCTTCATTATTTTGATAATTTTCTGGTATTTCAAGCTAAATATTTATTTTCAAATTGTAACTTATTTATTTATTTTGGGCTGTGTTTCTTTGCTTGTTAGTTTATATTAAGCACATAGCTATATAATGTTATAAGTCCCCAGAGGGTGTGGGCGTATTTGTGAGTTTGTTATTATGGTATTTACTTATATCCACAAGTAATTGATTTTTGTAGTTCAGAATAATAAAATAATATTATATGATTCAACACAGAAAATAAAATATTTTAGTTACTAAAGTCGCCCTGTCATTTTCGGGAAACCTTTTAACATAAACAAAGAACACAAGCACAAGAGTGTAGGGGAAAATAGTATCAAAACATATAATGCACATGGTTACTCTTCTGTACGGTGCTGAAGATAATATCTGTCCTTGCAACAATAACAAAAAAAAAAAAAAAAGATAGAAGATAATGCTAGTTGTGAGGAAGAGTGTCACACAAGAAAAAACTATCCATGTAACAAAACGTTATTTGAACTATGCTGCCTGTTGATGAATTATCGTGGGCTTCGTCACACAGATAATATTGAACAACCCGTATATTTCTACATCACTTTGAGACATGAAATAGGTGATTCGCTGTAACAGCGGCAGTCTAATATAACCTGTGGGTACTGTTTAATTAAATAAAGCTTTCACCTATAAATGTAAATAAACAAAAATGCCGTACTATATAGTTTATTTGATAGCCAACGCGAGAGAGGGTTAAAGTAGGAGTAATATTCTTAAAACATCTACCACCATTATAAGTATCATCTTGGCTCTTATCTCGTAATAAATATATTAGGGTCCAAATCTAAGAATTCCACCTGGCAATTTATGTTTCTTTGTATTATTTTAACGTTTGTATAATATACATCATGTATTCTACAATAGTAGAGTGGAGCTGCAATGACATTAAACTAATAAGCTTAATGTGCAGTATCAAGCCTGGACTTTCTTTTAAAATTGGATCAGTGCATTTTGTGGTTTACATTATTAGATTTTATAGTGCGGCATGGCCCAGCTGTTAACTCCGGTACTACCATTACAGACTATTTCCTTAATGTTTGATATAATAATTATTGTAAATGTTTTTTGCTTTTTTTTTTGTAAAACTTTCGCATAAACTGACTCACACTGGAAAAGACTATAATCTGATTTTGAGAGTAAAATATAAAATAAAAAGGACACAATTAAGATATTTTGGTTTGCTAAAAACATATTTTAAATGTTACACATCAATATATTTTACAAAGTTTTTAATATACTACATAATATTATTATCAACAAATCTACAATACTGAAACTTTTATCAAAAGAATGTATTTTCCATAAAATCATAAATGTGTATTTTGTAAAACCACAAGGAAGTTTTAACTATTGAAGTGCAAAACACAAGGCATTGTCCAGTTCCCATCCTCTGTACTACTATAGTTCCATCTAATAACTCTGTTACAATTTATTAAAATACCACGACACTTCAATCTTATATGATATCCACTTTACAAATATTTTCTGAGCAAGTAATTGTAATTACTCTCGACTACCAATTTTGGATAATTTGTTAAGCGCTGGTTATATCCCAGATATTCATACTTATATTTTACATAGTTATGCTTAAAGCACAAACCTATAATTCTTAATCATTTAGCTCATGTGTTTCTCTCTTAGTATCTTTGCTTGGGAATTTTCTACTTAGTGCAAGAAAATTTCTGGAAGAAGCGTTTTCAAAATTCACTGGCACTCATTACTAATGCAAACTCTTCGAGAAAAGAATGTTTGATAACAACATGTGTTTGAACTACAATCATATTAGGACTAAGTGATTCAGCTTAGTGTGTGCAAATGATGCATGGATACCTTAAAAGTTAAGGAGAGTAAACAGCTGAAGCAAAACAGCAGGATATTTGTGGGAACCAAAGTTTGTTTGTTTGTTTTGAATTTCGAGGGCTATCTGCGCTAGCCATCCCTAATTCAGCAGTGTAAGACTAGGGGGAAGGCAGCTAGTCATCACCATCCACCGCCAACTCTTGGGCTACTCTGTTACTAACGAATAGTGTGATTGACCGTCACATTATAACGCCTCCACGGCTGAAAGGACGAGCATGTTTGGTGGGATGGGGATTCGAACCTGCGACCCGCAGATTGCCAGTCGAGGGAACCAAAGTCAATGTGATGTGACTTCTGTATGCTTCAATGCTTGTAAGAAATATAGAAAATATTTAATTGATTTGTACAATTCCTTTGTCTTATCCAGGGTATGCCGGGTTTCTCTACTAACCTTAGCCCAATAAATGTGACCTGTAAAAGCGATTTAATGCTCTGTTGCACTTATTTCTTACAGATAACACGTTTTTCTGTTTACTTTTTGTTTATCCCGATAATTAACAACCATAACGTATTGTCGTTTGTTAATTGATTTTTCCGTAACTTCATTCCGACGAAACTTTAACGACACAAGTCTTTACTTAATAAAGCTGGTTTATTCTTTCCGAATATAACTTTACGATACACTTAATTTCAATATTCGCGCTAAAACAAACACTATAACGAACGAACGTTAACTTCAACAATACGTCTCTCTCTGACCACAGTTCAATTACTCATTACCTACACACACATTTACTACTTTCAGACTGCGAGAAATGGGTGCTGAGCAATCCATCAGATTGAGTTCAATGCTTAGAATAGGGGTACTGAGCAATCCATCAGAATGAGTTCAATGCTCAGAATAGGGGTACCACAGAAAGCTTGGCTGCCTACATGGATGATTTGCGCTAATGAACAGTAATGTTTATCCTGCAATGCGTTCGGCAATATCACAAGAATATTGTTGCGTCATCGAGATCACGTGACTATTCTCACGCCCTCTGGTTTCTAGAACTATCTTGTTCCTTCACGAATGCCCTAGCATTTACTAGATAGGGTAGTCTGGTATATATAAGAGGGTGACAACGTGACGCGGTCTTCATTCAACCACTCGATCACCGATCTCTTATAATAAACTGGATTGTGTATTGGTTAGTGTAACTTTATTTGACACTTGATGTCAAGTGGTAGACATACTATTTTTTCCCTAAATTGTTGGTTGAATATTTTGTATATTTTGAATATTTCCCTTTTTCAGTTTTGGTGATCTCGGTTTTCTATGGTATTTCCTTTCACTCCACTATGTACATTTAAAGTTTTCTATATGTATATCTTTTTTTTAAGTTTTTTGTAGTAACAATGAAAAGAAAATAGCTACGTTAATTGCAAAAATACAATACTAATTGTAAAATTGTCATTGTAAAAATAACGAGAGCATTAAAAGATAAAATTAGTCATCCTGTACAGGCTCACGCACTTCAAGACTATACCTACATATCACATACATCTAATAAATCTGTAGTACCGTTAGTAAGTGACATGTAATCTTTTGTGGCAGTTTCCTGCTGCTTTTATTTCATAGTGCATAGCAATTGTTTATTTGCAGCTATGAACTGTCAAACAGTAGATTTGTTATTACAATTGTAAGATGACTTAACAACAGAAAAAAAGGGTTCCAAGTGATTCTGACATAATTTAATCATTAAAAGATGATCCAGGGAAGATGAAAATGATAACATAAAAGTTTCATATCATTGCTGCACAGATTTGATTGCAGAGAGAGAAACCCAATAAATGGTGTTTTATTTAGAGTTGCATATATTATTTGCCAAATGATATTTGTTAACTGAAATACACAATTTTCTGTTTCTACTAGAAAAGGTTTCCAAAATGTTTCATTGGAAATATTTATTATATTCTGGTAATTGCTAAGTAATGGACCTCTGGAGTTGAACAAATCAAAGTGTATCAACTGTTCTTATAAATGTAACTGTAAGCTTAATTCCCTTAATTAACTTAAGAAAGTTTACGTTTTTGTTGCAAAATTCTATGGTATCTGCTACAATAGTTTGGTATACATCTAAAAACTACACCAAATCATTTTTCACACACATAGAACCATATACAGCTCTTAAATACTTACTTTTGCTGTTTACTGGCTTTGATTATATCTGTAGCTTATGTGGTAATAAAAATAACATAAATTAACAACTTCTTTACCTGAAAATGTATTTCAGATACCAAAAGAGCTATAATACAATATTGAAAATATTGAAAGGACCGTTGCAAAGAATTGTTGTTTATTATCAAGCACAAAGCTACACAAAAGGCTATCTGTGCCCTGCCCATCACGGGTATCGAAACCCGGTTTCTAGCAGTATAAGTCCACAGGCATACCGCTGTGCCACTGGGGGGCCGTTGCAAAGAAAGAAATTACAAAGATGAAATCCTTTCTCAAAACAGAATCAGAAAGTGAAAGTTGTGGATTATTACCGTCCATGAGGTGGGGGTGTAGCCTTGTGGGACAGTACTCAGTGGGAGACTGCAACCATCTCAAGTAGGGAATACTCGCGAAATATGGGTGGTACAGCAAAATATATTGTCAAAATAACCTTTTGCTGAGTGCTAACATGTTGCTAAGATGTGTGAAATGTCAGATTGCTCAAATGATTATCTCAGAGATGATTAGCTGAGTAAAAGTGTATAGTGTGGCTAGAGCTACAAATCAAACTGTTCCATTTTGTAGAAATATGTAGGTGAGTTACTCACCAGAATAATCAACTGCAGGGAATAGCATTCGAAATCTGTAATCTATGTCCTGAAGCAAACCCAAGACACATCTGGCTGGACCTCACCACTGGGACTGACTTGGTTCATAATGTAGTGACACTAACAGAGAATACCCCATTTCTACTTCTTAAATGAAGGATGTGTCCACTAAGTCTTATACAAGTTGGATTGAACT